CAAAACAAAACAAAACAAAAAAACATTTTACTTCACTGCTGCTTTTACATTTTCCAGGTGTTGCAACTTTAAATAGTTGTGTGGAAATTAGAATTTATTCTAATTCACACTGTACAGTTTTCTTTCATCACAGCTTAGACTAGTTAACAATAAAATGATGCAAAAATGCCATGAGAAGATCAGTTAAGGAGCCCAGTTTAATTGCCAGTATGAAAGTGACATGTGGATTAGGTTTACAGTAGCACTTAATACATCAGAAGGAAGAACATCTAAGCTATCCAATATCTGTAAGTCTAAATAAGAAGATTTTAAAATTCCTTCTTCAAGATAAATCAGTCTCACTTTACTTCATTATCACTTTATATTTTGACAGAAGAGGGTCTTGAAAATGATACTAAAGTCCAGTTTTTTCAAAGTTGCAAAGAACAACTCCTGATAAAACGTAGTCAAATCAATGCCTTTAATACTAAGACAAATATTTTTCAATGTTTTCCTATAAGAGGCTTCAGAGCACTTTTAATGCCTATCCTATGTGGAGACACACTGGAGTAAAGCAGTGAATTAGTGAGTACTTTCCCAGGGGAGAGACACCTATTGCTTCACCAGAACACACAGTCACTGATATTGAGCATCCAACAGTAGTGTGGGCACTGAAATAAAAGTAGGGAACATTTTTGCTGGGATTTTTGCTCATTGACTTGCACCCAGCGATAAGAATTGAAGAAGAACACAGGTAAAGTGCCTCACGCTAGTTCCACACCACATCCTTATATCTAAATAGGAGAGATATGAGTTTGAAGGGTGGACTATTTGGTGGGTAAGAAATTGGTTGGATGGCCACAGCCAGAGTGTTATTTCCAACAGATCCATGTCTAGGTGGAGGCTGGTGATGTGTGGTGCACCCCAAAGGTTTGTACTGTACTTTTACATCTTTATCAGTGACGTAGGCAATGGGATCGGGTACATTCTCAGCAAGTTTGCAGATGACACCAAGCTGAGTCGTGCAGCTGATAAAACTGCTGATAAATCTGATAAAAAGAAGGAAGGGATGCCATCCACAGGGACCTAGACATACTTGAAAAGTGGGCCTATGTGAATTTCATGAGGTTCAACAAGGCCAAGTGCAAGGGTTTGCACTTGGGTTAAGGCAATCCCAGATATGCATACAAAATGGGAGAAGAACTCAAAGAGAGCAGCCCTGCCAAGGACTTGGGGAAATTTAGGTCGGATAATAGGAAGAAATTCCCAGAGAGTGATGAGGCACCGGCACTGCTGCCCAGAGAGACTGGATTCCCCATCCCTGGCCGTGCTCAAGGACAGGTTGGATGGGGCCATGGGCAGCCTGATTTTGTGAGTGGCAACACTGCCCACAACCCCCAGCAAGGGGTTGGAACTGGATGATCTTTGAGGTCCCTTCAAACCCAAGCCATTCTGTGATTATATGATTTTAAAGCAGGTACACCTGCTGCTGCAGTCAGAGAACACTGCTCAGTGCCAGACCACTGTCCTGAAGCTGAAGGAGGTTGTTGCAATGCTTGGACTCTCTTCAGGTCCTGTTGAAATCATGGGAGTGTCCTTCTGGCTGGCACAGTGGGAGCTATGCAGACTCCCTCTGCTCCAGTATGGCAGCTCATGTCCCTGGGAGAGCAATAAATACCATTTGTCATCACTGTTTTTCTCATCTGACTTCTTCCTCCTTTTAGAGAGAAAAAAATTGAGTAAATGTCTTGGTAGGAAAAAAAAAAGCAACTCAAAAGCTCTTGCTAGTCTTGCTGCTTTCTTCTGGATGAATTTTTATATAGTACGTTTTTTTAATACTGCTAAAAAAAATCAAGATTTCTGCTTGTTGAAAACTACTACAATGATAGGAAGCTTTATAACGAGGTATATTTTTCACACTTGCTCTCTTGACTATTTAAGTAGCTTTTATTAGTATAATTTATCCTCTTTATCTGGCTTCCCACACTCAGAGAAAAATATCCCGTAGAGAATAGCACTCATAAGCATTTATAAGTTACTGTGAGTTTTAGTACTATGCTTCGTATTAAGCATTAAAAAATCTAACTTGGGCACTGGCCTCATAGAGAAGCTGCTGCACTTCGCTAAGCAAGCAATACCTCACCACTCAGAAAGCTCACCAAGCAAAAAAGTTGTAACTCTGCTGCCAGACCTGTGAGAGAACTTCACCCATAGCTAATGTAGTAAGGCCTTCATTAAGGATTGAGCATGAGAAAAAATAAGGGTTAATATTGCTGTATACTCACAAGCTTGACGACCACAGCTTATGATCACATCAGTTGCCTAATATCACAAGCAACACACTTTCAGACTTCTTGTTTACTTGGATTTTTTAATATCACTGCTGTTCATTAGGCTTTATATATTATGATTAATACATCTCAGCAATTAAGTAATTTATTAGATGATGTTACTATACAGGACCTCCATAAAAAATGAGGCCTGTTTCAATAGAAGCAAGTATCTCTGAGCTAATTACCAACAGTGATAGTTATGCATAATAATACAAAGCTTTCTAGAAAGATAATGAAGTAGATTTTGCTTTCAGTAACACTAATGTAAATACCCAGTGATTCTGGCACATCTGCATTGTGGTTCTTGCAGTTTTGCAAAACCACAGCTGCAGTACATTTATGTAGTGCAACAGATTTCTGGTCACTGCCTGAATAACAGAGAGCTGCCCTCAGCATATGGCTTACCTTAAGCTCAGGGATCAAATCTGTCACCTGTGATTGAGATGCAAGTTCACAGATTTATTTTTTTTAATGTGGCCCATTGTGTTTAGTGAACAACTGTTCATTAAAACATTCCACATTTTCCACCTCCTCAGCTGAAAGATCAATAGAGGAATGGAGACATTTCTGGCAGTAGGAAATCCAATTCCAGCAACGCAATGCCAACTGACTGCTGTTTTGATCTTGATGCATGTAATTGTGGGAAAGTCATTTATTAGGGCTGTCACTGTTAAAATGAGACATACTGAAATTTAGCCTGCCATCATTCAGCCTATCAGTAAAAAAAAATATTTCCACATGGATTTTTTCTCTTTTTGACATTTAAAGTTCCACTGACATACAAAGATGAAGACAGTCTCCTCCTCCTGGGATATTTTGCAAAGCCATTCCCTGAGTGTTGTCACAGACTAAGGATAAAGAATCAATGCAAATTTTCCTTTTTATGGAATTTTGATGCACTTCTTCACAAGACACCACTAAGAAAAGAACCAGAATTGTGTATTGCAAAGGAAAGTTAAAGATCAGTGATCATATTTGCAATGGCATTTAGTCAAATCAGCTTATTTCAGCAGCTGCTGCTAAGCAGCAGTTATGACTGTTCCATGTAAATCATTAGTCATGAGCTTCCGTGGAAGTCTACCTGCGCAAGACAAGATGAACCCAACTGATTATAATCACTGTTTCCCTCCTCTGCAGCAGAAATTTGCGCTGTGACACACTATGGCAGCTGCTGGACACTGGCTACTATAATAAAAGTTAATTTGCAGGATGGTGTGAGCAGCATTAATTTTCAACGTGGCAAAATGCTAACAGTTGACCCAACCTTGGGCCATTGTTGTTTCATCAGCAAGCTGAAAAAGGAAGTAAATCATGAGTCATATAAAATGCTGTAGATAATAGGGAATTATTTAGGTTAGTCAAAGCCACAGCAGGAGGCTGGAGGGATACCAGAGTAACTTAAGCACATCAAACAAGGCAGCATGTTGGCAACTGAAATTCTTCAAATTCTTTAAAAAAGAAAAAAAAAGAGAGAGAGAGAGTTCAAGGCTGAAAAGAAAGTACAATTTTTATTAGGTAGAATAGCAGAAGAGAGGCTGAAAGAAATTTCCACAGCTGTTATCTAGCTCTATTAGGGAACCCTGCAAGAATAAAAAATGTTTTAGATTAAAATATTTGGTACTAGGTAGGTAGGAGATTCAAACCTAAGCCTCTGATATTTCATAGAGTAGCCTATAAACAGGCCCTTGGACTCTGAATGTTTCCTGCACGGAAAGAGCACAGGGAGATCTATACTGCAGAGGCAGTAAAACTGAATTACAACTTCTGAAATGAGCTTCTCTTTCCAACTCAGTCTGCAAGCCATAACAAATGCAGCTGGGGCCTCCCAAACCATAGTACCAGGCATTTAGAGGGACACTCTGAGCTGTCTATGCCAGAAGCAGCCAAAATTCACAATCTGAGGAAAGGGATGGGGGCAATGTCCATTGGACAGTGTGTTTCATCTCACCCAGGGAGCTGTGATCACTCCCTAGGCCAGAGAAGCCCCAGCTGAAATCCTGGCAGTGCCAGGCCAGCACACCCCAGACTCACCTCAGCTCGGGTTTGAGTCACAGGAGAGGGCTAGGATGAAAGATCCACTGAAATAAGGTGTTTCTTTTGAGACTAATTAGCAGAAATGGTGTGGGAGGAAGACTACAGCAAGCAGTTTACTGCTTCAGTTGCAAGCACAGGGATGAGAGAAAAATCAGAATGAAAAAAATCTTACTTAGTTTTCCTGCCACATTCCTTCACTGAAATGGGGATAAAGCAGGCACCTGAAACCTTCTAGCTGGAACAAAAAGGAATTTCACATGTCAGCCCACCATCCTCACAAACGCTAATCGGGCAGCATAGCATCAGACAGGACAGCCAGCAGCAGTCATCTGAGCCAAGCACCCCTTCCACAGCAGCTCCTAATGGAGCCAACTGAGCCATAAAAGCTGCCACGAATGAATGACATCATGATGGCTTTCTTCACATGAAGACTTCAGCATAAGGAAATAATTTAAGAGACAACTAAACTCTACTAGTCATAATTAGTAGATAATATATTCCATAACACATATTGGTGCATGCAAGTCATTCAGGGTAATTAACAGAATCATACGAAAGAAAACAAGCTGTTCTTCAAAAAAAATTTATTAATATTACATATCAGTCCATATTAGAAAACATTGTAGGTGAAATGAATTGAAATTCAGACATGGCTCAAACACAAAATGTGAAAGTGCAATATATTGCCACAGGCATAATCTAACATGAGAAATACAACAGTGCCTCAGATTATGTGAGATTTGCAGAAGCTTCTGGATTTTTTTAGCACATCCCACAAACATCACTATCACGACTTTCAACAGATATGTTCAGTGTGTTTAATTAAAAAAAAAAAAAGAAAAATACTGATGTATGTCACAAGAGGATCTGGAGCATGACTTTGTCATGATGTTTGAAATTTCAACTAAGTAACATCTACATTTTCCTTTTAATACTCAGGTAGGTTACTCACTGTCTTTGATTGGAGTATTTGGCGAAATATCCCTAATTCCAATTCTCTTTTGTGGGATGAACCATTTATGTTTATATTTCTTGTTACAAAGGCTGAAAGGTTTTGACAATCAATGCAACTGTAAAGGGTAAAGACTGTAAAGACAGTGTCAAAATATGTGAAATGGCAGGGCTACGAACCTCTGAACACACTTCTGAAAGGTTCCCTCTCTTTAGCAAGCAGAAGATATATAAAAAGAAAAAATTCCATTGCAGAGACTTTGCTTTGTATTCTCCTTAGTGTAACTAAGACAACTTTTTTCAAATCTTAACTGATTTTAACAGCTGAAATATTCTCCCAAGGCAGTAGTAACATTCCCCCATAAAAACATGGAAATCTAAATATCTGGCAAAGTATTACTGTGAATACAACAGAGTAGAAGAACCACAATTAGGTTCATTCTGCTTCTATTAAACGCAGTCCTTTATAAAAAGTAAGTTGGAAAACAAGCAGTTCTGAAAGACAGAACTATATGTCAATGTATAAATCTGTGGAAACTATAATACAAAAAAAAAAAAAAGAGTCAAAGTGTTTCAAACACACAAAGGCACATTAGATTTAAGACTTTGGGTTACGTGTCTGAGGCTTTTTGATCAGTTTTCTCAACATTTTTCTGCGGAGTAGATTTCTTGGCTTGTTGATGGTTGGCTTCTGACTCCCTGCTAAGAAAGTAAAGGAAGTAGTCAGCAAAGCAGAACGACAAAGTTATTATTACTCTTCACTGTTTGGACTTCTTTTTATTATTTATTATGCTGTTAAACCAGTTGAACCCAATAACAACAGCCATGTCAGAAACTGTAAAATGAGTTCTGGACACTCTATTCTCACACACAGTAAGGTTTCTAGTGCATCCACTATGGCACTGTTCTCTGTTTTTGCTGTTTGTTCTTTTCCAGAGAAAGAATGCAAGCCTAATCTAGCTGCCCCACAGGAACACCAGAATGGAAGTACACCCTACACTACTTGCAAAAGAAAAAAGAAAACTATTGCTTCATTTCTTTGATCAACAAAAGGGCAAAGTCTAATTATAACCAGTGCCTGTGGGAGATGGAAAAAAGGTAAAATTATCTGAGTTCCTGCACAGAACAGGCTTTCCATACAGATGCTGCAGAATGCTCCAAGGCAGTAGCCAGGGTTATTTCCAGAAGAGCTTACAAAAGCCACACAAAACATGCGAGTATATATTCCTGAAAGCCAGTACTTGACAATGCCGACTGAAAAATCTTTGCCACCGCATTGCCTGTTTATCTGCACACTGGGCCCTGCATCCAGTTTCCTGTTCATTTGCTTTGACTGCAACTGTTTTCTATTCTAGTCTTTTAAAATGAAATTATTCAGGTACCTTGTCATTTCAAGAGCTACAGATCAAGTTAAACAGAAGTTGCATATATACATATGAGAGGTTAACCGATTACAACTTCAGACTCCAAAAGGTTACAAAAAGATACTAGGCAGGGGAACTTGGGAAGGAGAGAAGAATAGATTAAGTTGCCTTAAAGATTTACTTAATGTTGCTGTACACTCCCAAGCTATAGAAATGTATATGTACATTAATTAACACTAATTATGCCTTAACTATGAGCCTCAGTTGACCACACCTTACTGAATTTTGAAATGCACAAGTTATAACCAATCCTTTGAGTTTTCCTATCTGTTGCACTAATAACAAGACATAACTTTTCTTCATGCCTTTCTTCCCTGTGAAGAGGGAGTAGAGGAGAGCCCTCAGAGTGATTGTGGCTGAGTGTATGCGGGGGCAGAAGACAAGATGCTGAACAGGTGATTTCCTTCCTCTTCTCTTTTTGCATGGTTAGGCTGGAGCCTGTCCCTACCACTTCCAGAGAGTAATAGATGCAAATTAGGTAATCATAGGCATCTCTGATAGGCTTAGCACACCATTAGTATCTCCCTTATAACGCCAGAATGGCAGAGACACAGTCAGAGTGGTATGCCACAGAAATAGTACTGCCATGAGTAACTGGCAGGCAATATTTTTACTTCCAAGGTCAGTACTCACAGCTCTTCAACTACCAGCTTCAACAGCCATGGACTTCAAGCCCAGAACTGGATAATCCTCTACTGACTTAAGCCTTCCACACACCTTAAATACAGCTGTACTTGGGCACTATAAATGTTTCATGTTTAAAACAGAGATGGGCTTTGGTGTTCTGTTGTTTTTTTGTTGTTGTCTTTGTTTTTTTCAAAGGCAAAGTATATGTTAGACAGCCCTAATTTTTCCCCCTTAGCATAAAGTTGTTTTTTTTTTTTTTTTTGAGTTTTGAGTTTTGTACTGTGTCTGCTTCCTGACTGTTCTGGGGATTTACATTAATTATGCTTCTCTCTCTCACAGATTTACATATCAAATCAATCAGAGTATTAGATCTGCAATAGTGGGTATGAACATATGACTGTAGCTAACAGCACAAGTTTTGAATTACAAGCACAAGAAGCTGTTTTGAATAAAATCATTAAGAAAAAAAAAACATCCCAACCCTTCCCCCCATAGCCTCAGATTCAACACAAGTGATGAGGCAGAAATCTTTAGCAATGGGAATGGGAAATGGGAACAGATAGCAGAGAATCAAGAGAAGATTTAGTTGCTAAAAATGCTAAAGAAAAAAGTAAATTGATTTCACAACTTGCTTTAATCCCACTTTAAAGTATCTGAAAGAAAGTAAATTAATTAGTGTTTAGAACTGTTTAAATACTGATTCCTTGTGGGCCCTACTAAATTAAAGTCTTTTCACGTGCCTTTCTCCACATTTCATTTAAAAATTAAAAATCGTATAACCACCACACATTACTCTTTTCTCATATGAACAATTTAGCATTGCATCTCAGTTTTCCTTTTCTTTGAGACTACTGAGTCCAAACCGTAAAAAGCATACATTTATAAAAAAAATGGTGAGTAAAAGAACACACTGAACACCTAGTACTGGTATATGGATTGGTTTATCTGCTTTTGACTGACAAAATACCAAGGAATCTTACCTTTTCTACAGACATTGTAGCAATCTACTTCAGTAACAAAGTTGTTGGCATTTCCACCACAGCCAGTGTACTTGAACTCCTTGCACGATTTACTCGTGGCGTCATAGTAATAACGGGGCACAGAAGAGGAGCACAATCCTTCATCTTTTGGGCTATAGCATAACAAGGGGCCAGCTTGAAAAAGAAAAAGGAGATGATTTATATAATCTCTATGCCTAGCATATTAAAACTCTGCAATCAGTTTGGTTGCTAAACACCTATTACTCCCATTGAACTGATATGAGTGCTACCAATGATTTCAGAGTTACTGCATCCTATTCCTATGAGTTATACATTGGAGAAAGCAGCAGGCAGTCCCAGAAAACAAGCTTAGTAGTCCACAAGTGAAATTCATCCACTTTTCCCAAATGCAGTGCTGTATTTGGAAGAACAGAAAGAAATGTTCATGGGAGATAGAGTGCAGTCTGGTTCCATGTTTACAGGAACACAATAGCGATTCCAGTGGAATTACCTCTGTAGGTGAGAAAGGTACGATTTACTCTGTCCTTGCTACAGTTTTGCTAGTAAATCCTACTCACTTGTTGCAAGAAATAGAAAACCTCACCATATTTCTTACTAGAATGTTTAACAAAATCTTACTTCTGTTGCTATAGACTTTTTACTAACAGAAATTAAAAATAATTTTCTGTTTGCTTAAGGAAAAGGTGACAATCTCTTATCAACCAAAAATAACTATCTCATCGAGCGCTAATAAAGCACAGGCAGCAACACTATTTTGGTATCTCTCTGCTCTTCAAAGGCACTGTCCTGCAACAGGTATTAACCAGATGGTGTTTATGAAAACATCCATCTACAGTCACGTCCTCATAATTACCCTCTCTCCTCTTAAAAGTTGGTACGGAGAGGCAGGGAAGAGCCATACCAGATGAGGCAAGAAATCTTCCATTGATAGCTGAATTAGGTGGTGTGGAGTTTTCAGCACTCCCAACAGCATCCCTCAGGCTTGAATTCATAAAGGACCTCTGTATATATCAGGACATCACCTTCCTGACCATGATAGCCACAGCACCTTAGACATGTGCCCCAGCACAGATCTCCCACCTCACTGCCCTTCAGCTTACAGGTGCACAGTTCCCTAGAAGGCAAGAGGCTGGCTGGGTGTAGCTGTGCTCAAATTTGAAGTCACTATATCAGAATAATAGAGTGCTCTTGGTAAAAGGCAGGTGAGAGCAGCCACACACCACAACCTGAAGACAACAATAAGTATCTGTGCTACAGAAGTCTTAAAAAACACCACTGTGCAGGTATCTAGAGCAAAATATCAAATAAAGTATCATCTTCATATCGCTTTCAAACCATCTAGTTTATTAAGGATTTGGAACAACCGTTACTTTTCTCTGGCAGACAGTGATCCACACAGGACTGCAGGTCCTTGAAGTTGTTGCCGTTCCCGTAGCAGCCCCCGTAGACAAACTCCTCACACCTCATTGAACTCAAGTTGAAAGCGTATCTTCTTATGTGTCCTCGGCAGGGCCCTGTGTCAGCCTCCATCCGGCACAGTTTAGGCACCTCTACAACAAAAACAGTTCCACAGTCAGTAAAACCACCCCTACATGCCCTCCTCCCAACAGCACAGCATTGCATCCTCACTAAAACCAACCCTTCGTGCCCCTGTCCCAGCAGCACGGCGCTGCACACTGAGTGTGGCCGTGCCAGTTGTAGCAAGACCCGGCTTGTCCCAGCATCTGCACTCCACAGTAACATGGGATAAGCTTTACAGGAGGAATCTGACGCATTAATTAGACGCTTGTTATAATACTAAGATTCTAAGGAAGGCGGTACATCCCGTGCACTCCAGTCTGACACAGCTCCCTGCATACAGGCTGGTGCAGCTCCCCAGGCACAACGCCCCCCGCACCCCGGGGGCTCTCGGTGCTCCGGACTCACTCTTGATGGTCCAGCAGCTCTTCTCGCAGTCGTCGTAGCTGAGGAAGTTGTTGGCGTTGCCGTGGCAGCCGCCGTAGCTGAACTCCTGGCAGCTCTGCGTGTACCTGTCGTAGTACCAGCGCGGCACCAGGGCGCGGCACGGCCCGTCGTCGGGGGGCAGCAGGCAGGCGCGCTGCTTCTCTGCGGAGACACAAGGCCGGGGCTGAGGGCACCCTCGCGGCGGCGGCCCCGGCCCCGAGCGCCGCCCGCGCCCCGCTCCTACCTGTGAGGCCGCGCGGCGCCAGCGCGGCACAGGCCAGCGGCAGCAGCAGCGCGGGCAGCGGGAGGCGGCGGCCGGCGGCCATGTCGCGGCGGCGGGCGGGAGGGAGGGAGGGAGGGACGGCTGGCAGCAAGGTCCCGGGAGCGGTCAGCGCTGCCCGGCCCGACGGCAGCGCTTTATATGCGCCGACACGGCTTCCCCGGGCCGCCTCCCTCCTTGCGCATTTGGTGGGAGGGGAAGGGGTGATTCACGGGGCAGCAGGTCGGCGGCGGGGCGCGCGCCTGCGTGAGCCCCGGGGACGGGGGGGAGCTCTGCCGGGCTGCGGGGGGCTTGGCGGGGCTCCACGGCCGTGTTACGGGACGGTGCCCGAAGAGAATTTCCTGGTAATGACGGATCCGGGATGCGTACGGCGGAGCCCGAGACGGGCGCGGGGCGGCAGCAGCCGGCGGGGCTCCGCCACACCGCCCTACAGCCGGCCGCCTTCAGCTGCCCCGGCACCAGGGGCACCAGGGAACGAGCCGGCGTCGGGGCCTGGAAGCGCCGAGCGCTGAAGGGATGAAACCTCTGGATGGGTCTCAGGAGGCATCACGGCTTGGTTTATCCTGAAGATAACCCCAGCAGGCATCCAGGCCCCGAGGGAAACTGTGTTCCGTGTACCGTGCACGACTGCTGCCTGCTTCTGACAGGATTTTGCTTTCTACAAAGGCAAGAAAGAGGAGCAAATTAAACCCCCCAAAACCTAGATGACTTCTCTTGTTTTTCTTGAAAAATCTCCCAGTTGCTCAAGAATAAGAAGCTGCTTTAGTTAAAACACAGAAACATACAAAAACACACACAAAATTACATCAACAACCGAACAGAATCCTGGTTCAATGTGATGCATCGCCAGGAGACACATCTGCTGTATTTCAGGATCTTATTGCTATGGCCGTTAATAGCATGCCCTCATTTTTGGGTAAACTTATTAAGCACAATGACTGTCATAAAGCTTCAGTTCCTCCAGTAGGAAAAAAAAAAAAAAATCCACCAGATTTTCTATTTCCAGAAAAAAAAGAACAACAACAACTAAGAAGGCCATCTTTCTCTCAGGTGATTTTTATACAATCAGGCTGATGTCCTTTAGCTTTCATTGGATTTTGTTGGAATTGCACAGGAAGCCATTGAAATGCCACTTCAAACAATAGCAGCAAAATGAGTGCTGTCACGCTAATACCATTTTCCATTTCCTCTGTGCATACACACATACAAAACAAAGTTTGGATTAAACCTGTCTATCCATCAATCCTGCAGCGCGGTGTGGCATTTACTCAGCTGCTCCTCTGCTGTAACAAAGTTCACTTAGATGAGGTAGGTATTTGTAAAAACATACGAACCTGAGGAGCAACTAACAGTGAGCGGTGAGAGCCTTCATTAGCTACAGTCAGCAGAAGTAGTCATATCTGCAGGTGGCTGCTGCAGGTTTTCCATTGCTGGGCTCTGATGCCCTCCTCCCACCGGCAGCCCTCAGCTCTGGCCCCCCTGTGCCCCACAGTTCTCTATACCCACTCCATGCTCCCAGCAAGGGCTGTGCTGCCCAGCCAGCAGCTCCTTGGTAGCACTGCTCTGAGTAGCACTGTGGCCAGCAGAGGCGTGGGGATGACAGCATAGGTTGTAGGGATTAGGAACTGCACGTGAATAACAGCCAAAGGGATGGAGGGGAAGAGGAGCTGATTTTAGTGAACTGAAATAAATCTGATGTAAACCCTGTGAACACTTATTGGAGCAGTGGCAGAGGAAGGAGGTGTAAATCATGGCATCCTGCTGTACTGCTTACATCCGGTGGGTGGGAGAGGGGCAGGTAGTGTCCTTGTGACTATAGCAGCCAGAGGTGGAAGGAGGAAGGGGGATGACTGCCTACAGGGGCATTTCAGGTTCTGAAAACCATATGGGTTCACACATGCCCTCTCAAAGGCTGCATCTAGGCCTGCAGCTTTGCTTGGTGTGAAGGGCTGTGGCTGTGCTGATTCCATATCTGCTGGCATCATATGAAAGCAGCTGCCAAGAGCAGAGATGCCAGGGCACAAACAGGGTGAAGGGACACTTGTTGCAGAGAGCGAGTCCTCTGCTCAGGGTCTGGATCTCAGCAGTATATGCAAGCAACGAGAGGCTTTCTTAAGTCTTTTTTGTGCTTTCTGAACCCACCACTCGAGTGTACCCCATCCCCAGCACCCAGCACAGCTGCAGGACCCCGTGTGCTCTGTGCAGTGCTGTGGCATGCAGAGCTCTGTTTTCCACTGACAGCCTGACCTGACAGCTGTTCCTTCTCCTCTCTGCCTTTCAGTCTGATCTGCCTGTAGTTTTAACACAGAACTTTGGGGGAATGAGCCCAAGAAAAACACCTGCTGCGATCAGCTCACCTCTCTCAGCACGCCAGCAGCACACGACCACGGAGCACTGAGGTACAGGAGGAGCAGAGGAGAGGGCTGAGTGCTGGGCAGCCCCGGGCCGCCTCTGCCCCACGGGGCGAGGAGGGGAGCGGGTGCCGGCAACCCGCCGGGTGCAGGGCGCTGACGCCCCGCGGTGCGAACGTCCCGAGCACGGAGCCGGGCGGGCCGTAATCCGATTAGAGGGGATTAGCCCGGAGTTTAAAGGCCGGGCGGCGCGGGGCAGGGTGCCCGGCGCGGTGGGGAGGAAGTGGTCGCCGCGGAGCAGCCCGGCGGCACCGGGTGAGTGAGGCCGGGGGCGGGCCGGGGGCGGCCGCCCCGCCGTCCCACCGTCCCACCGCCCTAGCGGGGGCTCCGGGCCCGACGGCCTCGCTGCCCAGCGGTAACCCTTTGTCCTCCCTCCCTCCTCCCCTCCCTCTCTCCGCGCTCTGGCAGCGCACACCATGCCGGCGATCAACATCGAGGATCTGAGCGAGAAGGACAAACTGAAAATGGAAGTGGAGCAGCTCCGGAAAGAAGTGAAGCTGGAGAGGCAGCCGGTGAGCAAGGGGCCCCCGGGCGGGCCGGGGGCTGGGGCGGGGGCGGGGGGCGGCCGGGCAGTCCCGGCGCGGTGCCGTCGGGCGGCGGCGGGGCCGGGCGGGCAGCCCCGTGCGGAGCCCGGCGGGGTGGAGCGGGAGGGCCCCGTCCCGGCGCGGCGCGGGGGTGCTGCGGGCCCCGCCGCGGGAAGAGGAGCGCTGTGCTCTCCCCGACGGCTCTTGCCCAGATCCCCTCCGAGCGGCCGTGCCGGGAGAGGCAGAATTCCCCTCCTGTGTAAAAGGCACCGGGGCGTGCGGGGTGCCGTGGCCGGCGGGACGCCCCCGGGAGAAGGATAGAAGCTGAGGGGCCGGTGCTCCACAGCTGAGCTCCGTCCTGCTGCGTTCGATGGGAGCACTATGCTTTCTATCACACTGGTAATTTCTTTCCACAGGTGAATAGTTTCCGATGGATTTTATTGCTGTTGTATTATTGCACATTTTCTGTAAATGGAAGAACACAATTGATCTTGCTCCATGATAAAAGTTTTTTGTTGTTGTTTGTTTGTTTTAATTCTATATGCCAGCAGGAGAAAAAATACGTCTAGACAAACTATTTATTTCAGACTAAAAGTGAGTTTATATTAGGGGATCAGTGGAATTGTTTCTGTGTACTAGGTCTAGGTACATAGCCAACAAAGTAAGAAAGCCACAATTATAACAGACTCACAGAATGAATCACGGAAAGACTTGGCTTGTAAGGGACCTTAAAGTCCACACAGTTCCAACCCCCTGCTGAGGGCTCGTGTCTACCCACTACATCAGGCTGCCCAGCACCCCATCCAGCTCGGCCTTGCATGTCTCCAGCTTCTCTGAGCAGTGCCAGTGCCTCACTGCATTTTAGGTGTCAGTTAAATGTCAGTGGTTGCAGATGTTATGGTCTGTTGATCCAGAAGTATTAAGGGCTGCACATCTGAGTACTAGAGACACCTGGGTCATCCCTCAGAGCATTCCCAAGCTCCTGAAGTACTCTGTAGAATGCATAGATTTTGATTTTCTTAAAAAGAGTTTAAAACTCTTTATGTAAATAAATATATATTTAAATATTCTGAATAGTCTAAATATTCTAATACTTAGTCAATATATTCTCATATTCTGATATGCCAAAAGACTTTGGGGAAATGGGTATTTTGAAACCATCTGCAGTAAAGCACAGTCAACATCCTCAATTTCACCTCTGCACTGTACAAAAGCTTCACAGTGAGAATGAAGTCTGTGTTGTAGGCATCACAGCTGTACCACAGCTAGAGGTAGTTAGGCTTTATTCTGCACACCCTGTGGTTGAGGATTAACCCTGAGCTACTTCTGATGGCTCAGAGGCTGTGACACAGCGGGTAAATTCACCATCTCACTTGGCATAACTTTACCTATGGAGTAAGATATAATTATGGAGGAAAGCTATGAGCCTTAAATTAGAAATAATGGCCCCTGTCGGCCTGGCAGCAGCTGGATTCTGTTGCTGACTGCGCTGTTGTGTCTGTGGGTTGGCAGGCACAGAGCAGGGAGCTGTGCTTAGAGGCGTCCCTTATCCAGGCACCTGAGGACAGTGTCTGTTCCACAAGAAGGGAAGTGAGAGGTGTGTGTGGTCAGGGTACAGAGCAGCCCCGGTCCTCCTCCAGGGCAGATTCCTGTGGGGGCGCTCCGTGTGGGGCCATCATGCAAGGAGGACTGTGGGTTGTGCTCCTGCTTCATGCAGTATTTTATTGGCTGTTGTTTGACATAATGCCACGTGCCTGTAAGTAAATGATTTCCTAGGTGACTGTCATTGAAGACACGTGGCTTCTGCTGTAGAACTCGGGATGGGGATTTGTATCATCACTGAAAAACCGTTATGGAGTGTTTTGTTTGGGAAAAACTTGTGAAGTGACAGGTGCATTGTAGACAGATAGCATGTTATGGAGCTGAAATGTTGATCCTGAGGGTGTTGACTGTAAGTCACGTCGGGGAAGATGTGCTTAATACAACTAGACTGATTTAAAAGGTGGAAGTTTAACAGCGTAGCAGCCAGTGGGCTGAGTGCTGGCCTGTGGTACCCAACGGGCGGGCAAACAGGGAAAGGTGTGAGCTCAGCACCTTGCTGCTGGGGAGTGCGTGAGCTCTGGCAACATGTGTGTCCTCCCCACAGGTGTCCAAGTGCTCCGAGGAGATCAAGAACTACATTGAGGAGCGCTCGGGAGAGGACCCGCTGGTGAAGGGTGTTCCGGAGGACAAGAACCCCTTCAAGGAGAAGGGTGGCTGTGTCATCGCCTAAGGGAGACTCATCGCCTAAGGGAGACTCCAGCCCGCTGGGCCTGCTCCGGCAGTGCAGAGCAGATTTTGTCCGTTGTTATTTTTTTTTTTTTTCTTAAATAAATAGATGAATCTGAAAGCAGGGTCTCATCACTTCGCCCCTCTCGCCACCTGTTCTCCGCTCGCTCCGGCCGGTAACCCGAGAGGGCACGGAGGCCCGGGACGGAGGGCGGAGCGGAGCGGCCGACGGCAGCCATGGCGCTGCGGGGCGCTGGGCGCTGGGCGCTGCGGGCCTCGGCACTGCGCGGCGGCGGCAGCGGCGGGCGGTGGGACGGAGGGCGCGTAGCCGACACGCCTCAGCACGGCGCATTGCGGGCGGCTCTCAGGAAGGTACCGCGAGGACGGCCCGGCAGCCTGCGCGGCCTGCCCGCTGCGCCGCTCCGGCTGCTGCGTGCGGCGTGTTGGCGCTGCGTGGCTCCCCGTTTCGCTTTGAAAGTCGGGGGGTGGGACTGCGGGGACTTCTGCGAGTGGAGCCGGGCTGCTGTGCTGCCTGTGCGTGGAGAGAGTGCAAGCGGGGAGTTGGTGGAACTTGGGCTGCCCCAGTGGGACGTGAAGGACCGGGACGCAGAGCGGGAGAGCGCTCAGTTCCCTCCCGGCTCCTGCAGCGCGCAGGGTAAGGGTCGGCTGTGGACACTGGGCGTAAGGGCAGGCGGAACAGAGTCCGTCTGTCACGGTGGTGTTTCTAGAAGAGCCGTAACAGGAGGTTCCTTTGAAACAGAATGGTAAACGAAGAGAAAGAGACACTTTGGGTAACGTTAAACAAAAGTTGAATGCCATTCTGAATAATGATGGCAGGGGGGAATTCTCTGTGTTCCCAGCAGTGAGACCAGTGTCACCTGCAGAAAGCTGTGATATAATTAAGCAACACCTGTCAAAGTTGGAGAATTAGGTTTTTTTAAAGTTAGAAAACTCTGGTTGGAACCCACTGGCAGGGATGGTCTGGGGGCAGTGAGTGGAACAGGAAGGGGTGGGGGGGAGTGGATGGGATGGGATGAGATGGGATGGCATGAGAAGGGATGGGATGAAATGAAACAGAACAGAACCAGGCAAGATGGGATAGGATAAGGCAAGATGAAACAAGCTGCATGTGTGAGAAGTCTGTCTCTAAACTGTGATGTGCTCAAGTTCATCTGCAAGCAGGGTGTCATCTGAAATGGGCATGATGGAGTGTGAGGTGCTGCCCCTGATTTGCCTGTGAGTGAATGCCCAGCTCCTGGCTGGTACTGCACTGTAGTTTTTTAAAAGCAGTGCACTCTGGGTGTCCTAATGTTAGATCATTTATGTGACTTCGGAGCTGTACTGTCAAGAATTTGATAGAAGCTTTTAAAAATGACTTGAAGAATCTTACACTTTTATGGATAATTACCCTTTTTCCAAATTTCTCCTCTTTCCATGTTAAATGTGGAGAAAGGATATTGGGACTACTTCTGATTCAGACAGTTCTTCAGGTTTTTGTTTGTTTGTTTGTTTTTGGAATTAGCTTTCATACTTCCAGGGTTAAAACAGGATGTTGCAAAGGCCATTTAATTCATCAAGTTCTTTATGGCTAAAGTTAGGCCTCTTACCCCTAAACTTTTGCAGTAGTGTGTTCATTTTCTTTGTTATACAAAGAAACCTGGTGCTTGACCAACTTCCTTATAAGTTAGTTTCATTCATTTAAATTCCTGGGCATTCTTCAAAGCAGGAATGAGCTGGCAGGGAAAGGATCAGTAAAAGAGTTGAAGATGAATGCTCTTCTGTCACTTGGGCGAATAATACAGGATTGTTTTGCTTGTATTGCGGTTACAGGCCTGCATGTCTGCAGTCACCTGCCTTGCTCTGTCCTCTAGACCTGCACTGTCCATTACTCCTAGAATTTACAAAATGCTTATGTCACTCTTATTTCAGTTTCTGTCTGATCATATAGAAAAAATAATCTTCACCAGTTTACATCAGATCCAGTCTAACGCTGTTTACTCCAAAGCTTCCATCAGTCAGTGTTTATTTTGGCCTAAGTTAAAACTGACCCCAGTGAATTCAAGGCAAATTGAAAAGTAAACATTATGGCAGAGAATGACCACTGAATATCTGAAATGCATTTTAAATGTAACGATTATTTAATTTGGGGCACTTTTTTCACTAGGCTAATCCAGATGCAGCTGCCAGTGAAGTCAGAGAAGCGAACGGTGTAATTCCATTATTGAGAATTGTTATATTTTTGTCCCCATTCCTTTTATTTTTTGATCTGTTAAATTAATATATTTTAAATGATCTGTACTTCTCCAATTGTTCTGAGCAGGATGAGGAAGAGACTCCTGTAATTCCAGGAGCTGTTTTTAGCAAAGGCATTGAAATAACCTTGTGAGTGGTTTCCTTTACTACTTCATAGGTTACCACCCTTCCTCTTGGAAATCGAAAAACATAACTTTTCTTTACCTTGTTAACAATACTTACAGTGCACTAGTATCCTACAGTTTGATGCAGTAATTAAATTATAGTATAGGCTTGAAAGAAAAGAGGGTTTAAGCTACTTTGTGTGCGTGTGTAACTATGCATATACATATGATATGTACTTTAGCATGTCCCTATTGGTATATCTCAGGCAGCAGTTGTAAGAAGCTTTGGGAAATACATTTGAGAAGGATTGGCATATATTTTGATGGAGTTGCATCTAATATAGAAAAGATTTCATTTTACACACGGTGATGGCTTGGACTGATGACACAGTGTTACATCTCTGTAGAATAGGGGGGATTCCTGTAAAAATGGACTCCACAAAAGAACACCACTGTTTTTTTGCCACTCCTGGCTTGTATGTCTGGCTCCAGTTATTAACAGAGTCACAAATTTCTGTTCATTAATATATATGTATTCATGGAAGAATTAGAGCCTCTTTGTATTAGAGCATAAAAGAGCTGGATTAAATACTACTTTTCACTATAAATATCCGTTAAAATTGTTGTAAGCTCTCTGTCAAAATAATACAGCTATTTTGGATAGTCTGCAGATTATTACTGAAATGTGACTTCTGTTACTGCTGGAGCACTGTAGTTGGAGTTGTTTTGTCCATCTTTTATAGCAAATCACAAAAAACAGTATTAAAACAGCAAAGTCATTGGCTGTTGGTGCTACAGATAAATAACTTAAAATGCTTTCTTACTAAATTGAAAGAGAAAATGAAAAAGGAAAGACACAGCAGAAGTTGCAAAAGACGTGACTTGGATCTCTAAAACAGTATTTGTCATGCATTTGAGATAGAAGTTTGAGAAGGGAGAAAGTTAAAAAACATGACATTAGTAAACCTCACAGTTTTTGTACAGATCTATATAAGGCACACAAAATTCCCAGATTCTGGGATGTTTGCAGTAGCCTTTGTCATCTTGTGTCTAACAGAAACATTTGATAACATTTTGAGGCCAGATCCCTTTCTGGTGTAGACAAACACAGAAATATCCTTTCCTACTGCATAGAATTTTGGACAATAATTTAACAGAGGGAAAGTGTTCACAGTTGATTTTTGTTATCAGGGCAGCTGGGATATACTACTGTAATAAGAAATACCACCTAAGACATTCAGTAGTACTTTATCATTGTCACACCTGATTGGAGTAGGCAGTGCAGCTGCTTACTGTTCATTAACTTCTGACAATTTAAATCATATCTTAATAAGCAGTTTGTGACTGAGCAAACACCTGTGATTTACATAGGTTGTGCCACGACCATTCAGGAAGTGTAGCTATCTTTAAATCATTTTAGGTCCTGTTAGTGTAAAAATGTGTGAGTAAATCTTTACTTCTGCCCTGCGAGCACACTGATGAACATGGCAGCTCCCAGCTAGGTGTCATTGTACTCTGAAAGCTGTTCTGTCAACTTGCCTTGTTCTGGACGTTTTTTTTTCTTTTTCTTTTTTCTTTTTTTTTTTTTTTTTTTTTTCTTATTAAGCCTCAAAGGGAGCAAGAAAGCCTATGTCAGGTTTGATAGATGAGCGCTGATGGATTGCTGCAAGGAGACTTCTGAGATTTTTGGTGTACTACTTAAGATTAGTTTCTGTCCTACAGCCAGGCTTGTGTGCCTAGTCAACAACTGTTGTATTATCAACATGGTTTAGGAACAGAAGGTCCCAGGTCACTAGCCCTGTTAGCACCACCAGAGGTGTGTCTTTCCTCAGGTGGGCTTATAGCTTGTCATAAAGAATTAGAGCCTCGGTTTGTCTGTAGCAGTAAGGAAGGCCAAGCTTATCTGCAGTCTGCTATTTTATGTGCTTTAGCCTTCAAAATATGCCGTGTTAACTTGAGACAGGGAAAACTAGTATGGGTGTCATGCTACGCTGTTTGAGAATGAAGCTGCTCCTCAGGCAGACTTGGGAGGGTCACAAATATTGCAGTTAGAAATTTGCAGTGGGATAAGCAGAAGAATGTGCGTCATAATTGCATTTTCAAAGACAGAAGTGGAGACTAGGAACATCTCCTTTACTCTGGAGAAGAAACCAGCCCTTTCCCAGGGGAAGCTGATAAAATTCTGTTGATCACCTCATCCAAAGAGAAATGTGGAACATTTTATTTCAGCTTAACTTTATCCCAGCCACAAGGAAAACGAAAAAATGGAAAATAGATGGAACAAGAGCATGCTGAATAAAAATGTTTCCCTTGATGCTGAAGCAATGTGGTAAGTAGATTCTGTGTAAGCTTCTTGTGGTTGAGATGACAGTCCAAATCTTTAGTTGCTGATTCAGCGTTCAGGAGTAGCAGTCCTTCAGTGAGGTCAGCTATTTGGATCTGTGAGGATACCCCAGGCTTACTAGGCACTCAGCTGATATGGAGATGAGCATAGTTTAACTGCCAGGACATACATAAAATGGCATAAGTTGTGAGTCTCTGGTGGATTTCCATCATTTGCCTTTACTGTTTGGCATGTACATTCTTTCAGTAGCTCCAGAGAATTATTTATCCTCTTTCAGTGTCACAAGATGAAGAAAAGGTGAAGGCACCAGTGAGGTTAAAGCCAGTTCCTAGGACTGAGTATTTTCCATTTCATCTGAACGATTCAGTCACAATGTGGGCCACAATGTCTGAACATGGCCCTCTGGTGCTCTGGGAAGTCCTAGAGTACTACAGGAGATGCTTGTTGCCTCTTGTTGACTGTTACAAAAGCACCATGTATGTCTGGAAGGTCTGCTAATTGAAATCTCTTGAAGAAGGATGTCTGACAGCCTGGACAAAGCAGCCCAGGCTTCATATCACATTGCTCAAAACAGTCAGTATCTCCAACAGTACCCAGATTTCAGGCTGCTCTTCAACCTAGTAACAGCATGAAATGCTGAGCCCTGTCATGGGTAAGAGTGTGTGGGTGGCAAAGATGGGTAAAATCCAGGGACATTTGCCTTTCATGTTGGATCCCATCATATTATTTCATGACGTCCTAATGACTTGCAGTGGAAAGGTGGCCTGGAATGGCCACAGTGAGATAAATTGCTTTGTTCACGCAGGGATATAATCCAGAACCAAATATGAATAATCACAGTTCCTAAGAATGTAATTTGTGGTCACTGTGGCCAAGTCTGAATTTAGTAAAGTTGTTGGGAGGTGGAAAAGGGAGTTTTTTTTAATCTAGTTTTTTGCCATAATGATATCATGT